TTTATGGAGTTTGAGGAGTTTGGGGAAAACCTGACTTGGTCCAGGCCCATTTGAACTTTCAGGATGTCAACCAAAACTTCATGAAGAACTCCAGATCCTGCCAACCTATATTTAAAACAAGGAAAAAAGAAAAAATGGTGGCATTTTTTAAGTAGAAAAATTGCTAGACATGATATCAGGAGAGTTTGTGCTTTGGGACTGCCATTTAGATAAAAAGAAGAAAAGGACACTGTCCCTGAATATAAGGACCTTAAAGGAAGATAGATCTGTGGATAAGTAAATGAATATATAATAAATAAATTATAAGTATTGTGAAAGAAGCCAGAAACATGGGGATCTTTTTTGATGTCGTCTGTTCCATCAATCACCAAGTCCTATGAATTCTTCAGCCCAAATAAATCTCCAATCTATCAACCTGTCTTCAACATCACTGACACCACTTTAAGTCCAAGCTGCTGTCACCTCTTTAACACTTAAAAGAAAATCTTAAATTCTTCAAATGGCCTGTAAGACTCGCATGGCCTGGCCCTGCTTACCTCCCGGAGGGTGTTTTTCTTTGCTGCCCCAGCCTTATGGTCCCTCTCTGTCACACGCTGTCAGACTCCTTGCTGGCAAGGGGCAAACTGCTCTCTGCTTTCCACCTGGCCAACTCCTTAGCCTTCAGGTTGCAGCTCAGTGCCACTTCCTCAGGACGTCCTCTTCTATCACGTTGCCTGTGTTGACTTTTGAGGCACTTATCAATTGAAATTACATTCGTATTTTGGTGATTTTTTTAAAAAATGGTCAGTTGATCCCACTGAACTCTGAGCTACAGGAGGGCTGAGGCCATGTCTGTCTTGCGTATGGTGCTTACCATCATACTTGGCACATAACGGGACTCACAAATTGTTGGATGAATGAGTAATTAAATGCACAGAAAAGTACTATGACATTTTTGCTTATTGCTCTAGAGACTACCAGGCCCACGCAGTGCAAACATAGGGGATTATAATGGTGCATTTTGCTTAGGATTATAAAAACACACAAAAAATTAATATACATATAAAGCATTGAAAAACAGTCGAAACATTTTCCCCTTTCTTATAGTTAGGAAGTGTCACGAAGAATTAATGACTAACTCGTAAATTGATAACAGGAAAGGAAAAGGAAGAACTTTTAAAATATTTTAAACCTGCTACTGCATTAATCTGTAGGCTAAATTTCAAAACTATGTTAGTATAGAGATTTCAGATCACATTTTATTAAAGTAGAAAGTAATTTTAGCTTAACTTCTGAAGTAGTTTTGATGCTCTGTTTGATACAGTGTTTCGAGCCAGGTGCAGTGATGTGAACCTGTACATGAGAGACTGAGGCAGGAGGATTGCTTGAGGCCACGAGTTTGCAGTATACTATGATTGTGCCACTTCCAAAAATAATAATAATAAGTTTTAAAATGAGAGTTGTAATACAGTGCTGCATACTTGCTTTGTTAAAGAATTGTAGCATCAGAAGTCAAAAAGTAACTCAGCAACAACATCATATTTTGATACATGATTTAAATGAAAAATATTCCTACAGTTCTGTAATATTTTTAATCATTGGAGGTCTGTCCAATATATTTACTTCCCATGAGGGAGCTTAAATAGTCAGTGATTTCATCAGCAGGGAGACAAAAAGGCACCAAGCAGTATATATGCTGGATCAAAACAAACATTCACTTAAAAACAATGTGTTTTATTTGATCACTTAATGATATATTACGTAGCCTGACTTCGCTCAGTAAAAGGGAGCCCATCTTACTTGTATGGTAGGTGTATGAAGGCCCTCACATACATAGCACTTACGGAACCTTGGAATCCAGAAGATTTTAAGGAGAAACCTTGCCCACGCCCTCAGTGCAGATGTGGGAAAACTTAGAGAAATACCTGCTTTCTTCCTGGCAGCTCTTCTACAACTCACCCCTTCTTGGTGAGTTGAATAAAGATACACAGAAACATTCTGAAACTGTAATCACCAAACTGTTAGCAGTGGTTGCTGTTAGAGAGTGGGAGTTGGGAAATAAAAATATATTTTTTCTTACTAAAAAGCCATTAGCAATTACAAAATAAATTATAGCATATTGACATACTGCTTAGCATTTGGTTTGCTTAACTTATTTAGCTTGTATAATTTACTGCATTTAACAATATTTTTGATAAGCTATTTCGGTGTACTGAAAATTATTGTTAAATTATGCATGTGAATATTGATTTTTTTTTTTCTTGACTCCTGATTTGCCTGAGGTTAAGAAATTTGAAACTTCAGTTCTCCCTTTTTAGCAAATCCTCTCAAGATAAAAGCTGGCTTCACTGTTTCATTTACTGCTCTGGGTTTCAGTCTTCACTTAGTTTTTGTCTTAGTGTTCCTCACAATGCTTTTATGAAGTTTTATGGCTATTATTTGTTTTTTTTATATTTTGACTAGGATTTTTAGTTGTTTTACAAACGTTGATCTAGGTACCTAGTCAGCTGTTCTGTTGGAAATGAACGTCTCATAATTTTTGCTCCATAATGTATACACTTTGCATATTATGTAATTTTTATCAAAGCTGTGAAATGGTATAATGGCCGGTAGTGCTTTTATGCCATTCAATAAACTAAACCTCCCTCCACCAAAGAGCATCCGTAGAGTTTTAAGATGCATTTTGTTTGAATTTTTTGTGTAATGAGGATAAATACTGGATAGTTTCTCCCGGATTAAAAGTATGATGCCTGTGACACTGTGGTTTAGAACTCTCTTAGGCCTTGACTGCCTGTGAGCTGTGTATTAAAGCAAACTCAAATGGGCTTTTTGAATAGAACCCTTTAAGATGTGTCACCTCCCTCACCACACTTCCAGGCTGAAGTTAGACAGCTTTACACGTGTCTCTTCGTTAGGCATCTTAATCTTCATAAGGCCCACCTGTCTTGTCTCAGTGCAGCTTTGCCCTTATCTGGCTCAAAACAACAACAATAATGACAGAAACTGCATTCCAGGAATTGTCAGGGGGGTATAAATGAATTCTTGTTGCTTTTTTTATTATCCTTAAAAAGTTCTGAAAGGAACCAATTGTTCTTGTTTACCTAAAGACTATTTAGTCTACCCATCCTACTAAAATAATATCTAAATTTCACATGAAATCACAGAGCTAGATACCTGGATTACATCAAATTGACCTTCCCTTTGAATGAGTCTACCAAGCTTTCCTTTGTGGTGATACCATTGACTCATAAGTAGCAGCTGGTGAAAAATCTTTGTGTTTACTCCAGAGGTGTTAAAGATGTTCTTCATTACATATACATTGGTTCATTACATAAACATTGGGTGTCCTGTCTGTGAGCTCCCAAGGGAGAATTTCCTTTTGAGCTTTCTAGGAGCAGTTTGGTTGTGGGTACCATGAGTTCGGGACCTGATTCTCTCCCATTTCCTTTGGCTGCTAGAAAGCTTGGCATTTGAGTCCTCCCCTGTCAAGCACATACAACTTCAGGGGATGTATTTTTACTTACAATCTCACTGGAGGTTCCATCTTACTTTCCTACCCTTATTTTTCTTTAACTCATATTTTACCGTGTTAAATGCATGTTTTAAAAATTATTTTGAATGTTTTTTGAAACATAGTGGGTATATATATGCAAAATCATTTGATTATTGTTTCAAATAATGCAAATTAGTGATGAATAACTATGTTTTAGGAATGCAGTTATAAAATTATATGTTTACTTTTGCTTATATAAGTATTGTCAAGATCCAGAAAATTGGATTTCAGTACAATTCACTGTCTCTAAAACAAATATGCAAATATGGTGGAGACTACTGTTAGGATTTCTGAAAAGGCCTACAGCTTGTTCCCTCATCTGCTTGAACAGGCAGGTTTTCAAACGTAAAATCGCTCTCCCTAAATATTTTGTAGATTTCAGTAATCTGATAAATGAGCTATGTATTCATTGTTTCTCTGGGACCCACACAGTAGATTATCCATAGCAACAATCCTTTTCAAAACTTAATAGGGCCAACTCTGTATTTATTAGGGAAATAATACCACCAGGTTAAACAAACTGACTGTTGGTTCAGTGTATTTACTTTCTTTCAAAGGGATCTGTTAAACCTTCAGTGTGCCATGTTGTAGATCAGTAGAAAAGCTGAATTAGGATAGACTCTATGATTCTGAATGTGCCATTTTTGTAGTGTGTTTAGGGTTGAATAAAAAAGATGATAAGCAAATAAGCTTTAGCAATAAAGTACTATTTTATGTATTGAAAATAGGGCCAAATTTTTCTCTGCACAGTCGAAATCAGTGCTATATTATGTTAAATATTATCATTTTCAGTCTATAGAGGTTAAATAGAATATATAATATTGGTTCAGGAAAACACATTTCTGCTTTTCTTGACTCTAGAAATTATAGTGATATGGAATCTCTCAGAAAGGCTGTGCCTCAAAAAAATAAAAGATAGTTTCAGAATTACAGAGATTTTCATGAGAACAGGTTTTTTTCAAAGAATTTAAATTGCTATTGAAATGTAAATTAAACTTAGATCTTTTCATATCAGTTGTTGTGAAATGAAGTAGTATTTAAAATCACAAAATGTTAGAGTTCATCTATATCAATATCCTTATTTTACAGCCATGAATACTTTTAGAAATTGCTACAAAAGCATAATGTCTCTCATCTGAAATGTTCTTGTGTAATATTTGAAATTTTTTAAAACTAAAACTTGTTAAGCTTCCATACTACAAGGTATACTAATGAGAATACAGTTATCTTTCACAAGGGTAGATTGATGAATAATTCTGTTTTGGTTTTTGATATAATAAGATGGAGTATATTTTTTCTCTATTGGACTTTTTAATGTAGATTAATAGTAGGACTCTGCATTTATCAATTGATTGAGCCTGTTGTTTTGGTAAAATCTTTGCAGTGTCAAATATCTATTTCTTCTTAATTTTGGGGGGGTATAGTTTTAGTACTTACATTATTTTTGTTGTTTTGTTTACCTTCACAGATTCTGGAACTTTTCAAACCCTGATCCTCTTCTTGAAACAGTGGAGCACCACACAGAGTTTACTTGTGGTTTAGATTTAAGTCTTCAGAGCCCTACGCAGGTAATGGATGTGATCTCATGATTTTTTTCTACCTATACAGTTCATGAGTAACACTGTGTGGTATGTGTTGCTTTTATGAATAAAATTGTTACTGTAATGGCAGAACTAAGTACATTTACTCATTTAACCTGATTACCTTTGCTATGAGACTTGAACCACTAAGGAATAAGAAGTATCCAGAAACTCGGCATACTTTTCTCCTCTTGACAGAGGTATCCAGAAACTTGACACACCTTTGTCCTATTTAATATGTTGAAGGTTTTGATGAGGCCTTTTCCAAAAGAGTGACAAGAGAAAGCTGGAATAGGACAGGGTTGTCACCATAGGTTGGTGGGAATCAGGATCATGTGGTCCTTGACTCAGCTGTCCCATTAACCAGTTGAGACCATGGGCAGGTCACTTCCCTCCCATAACTGTCGCCCTTGTCTCCACACCCCGTGTTGACCAGGAGACTTCAGGTGGAGAACAAAGTAGAGGAGAATGTCTGTTATTTTAATTGATAAGCATTATATTTTTCCCCTTTTGTTCTCTTGAGGACTTAAAAGTAAATACTTTGAACTTTAAATATTCTTGATTTTTTCAAAAGCTATTTCAGTTTCAGAAATTGTAAAACTGTAAAATCAGAATCATAGGTCAGAAACACTACAATATGTTGAATGATAAGGCACTTCATAGTACAGATTGTGTGAAAGAAATAACATACCAGTGAAACACAAAATAATATGTGGAAATTCTAGAGTATGACTAATGAATTATACTTTAGTGATAAATTTTAGAAGTTAAACCAAAAAGAAATCCCACTCCATAATATTGTGTTCTTAAGTTTAAATAAGTACACAAGTTTCTTTTCATTTTAAGAATTTAAGACATAATTTGGAGTTTAAAATATTCTCAGTAGACATTAGAATATTCTCATTAGCATGAGAATAATTGTTTAAAAATGACTTAATAGCATGTAAGAAGAGAAGAAAATGAAATAGTGATGAGTGAAATTGCATTATCTTTAATGTAAATATGTTGTGCTTTAAATGAACTCATTCCTCTTCTAACACATATCTTTGTTATAGATGATTTTAAATAAGATAATTGTACTTGTTTTCTACATTAGTTTTTAAAAGTTATAATGTACATATTGAAACATGAAACAACCAAACAAAAGATTCTAAGTAAATACTCATGAAATATTTATTCTTACATATTCCTATTACCTGTACTCTGTGAGACCCAGACTGGGGCCTGTGGCAGTGGGTATGTGGCTCCTTCATTTTCTCGGTTGTGGTGGTTCCTCATCCAGATCCAAAAAGTATCAGCTGTTTACTAAGTCCTCCACACACAGGCTCACCTTATTCAAAGGAACTTTGTGATCAGAGGATTTATTAATCAGAGGACATATGTCCTCAAATAATAGGTTTTTGTCGTAAGACCACATATCTTGCTTGTAGCCTATTGACTGCCATCCATCTCTTCTAGTTGAATAATTAAATTTCATTTGTACTAAGGGAATAGTGGCTGTTGAGAGCAAATGGGAGTGAAGAAGCAGAGATTTCTGAGTTCTGAATAAGCAACAGGTTCAATGGCATAACGCACAGTTCAACTGTACTAGAAATCTTCCCTGAGTTAATTTATAGTGAGGCAGAATTTTGGGACTGGGAAGAACCTTAGAAATAAGGATACTCCCTCTCATTTATTTATTATTTCTACAAATACTTTCATATGCTAGACCTTGTGGTAGGTACAGAGGGTTCAATGGAGAACAAAAATAAACATGACCCCTGCCTTCATAAAGCGCTTAATCCAATGTTACATCAAGTCTTCTCACAAATGAATGTGAACAGATGACTGTGACAAGTTCTATGAAGAAGTGCATTGTGCCCCAAGCATTCATCGTCAGGATAGGTATTTGACCTGTTTAAGCGATCAGTGTGCAAGAGAGGCTCATCTGAGATCCGATGAGTGGGCAGGTGTTACCAATGTGAAGAGAGAGAAGGAAGACCACAAACAGGCAAAGGCAGCAGTATGTCACAGACCCTGTGATGGGAGGGAGCGTGGTTAGTACTTGAGGGTGCAGGAATATTTCCTTTCTATTTTTGGCATTTTGCTCCGCATTAGCATTTTAAAATATATATATAGTCATGTCTTAAAAAATGGAGTGTCTGCCGGGCTCGGTGGCTCAGCCTGTAATCCTGCACCTTTGGGAGGCTGAGGTGAGTGGATTGCCTGAGCCTGTGGGTTCGAGACCCACCTGGGCAGCGAGACCTCATCTCTACAATAAATCAAAAAATCAGCCGGGCGTGGTAGCGCATGCCTGTAATTCTGGCTACTCGGAAGACTGATGCGGAACGATCGCTGGAGCCCAGCAGTCGAGGGCTGC